TTTACATATTAAAAATGATATATTGAGTTGACATATATTTAAAAAAAATTATGAAAAAATATATCTGAACGTAGGGCTCGAACCCTAGCAAGTCCTTGCACTTCTCTCGCTACTGTAAGGGTGATAGCTCTACAGTCACTCCCACAACAGCAGCTCCATTGATTGGCAGACCGAATAGGACTTGTACGTCCTGGAGCGTGATGGTGGCCTCGCCGAAATCGAAATGGAACGTATTCGTCTCTGGTCGCCACCTCTCCACGAGAGCAGTGAGGAGGGCGTTGTCGGCTTGGACTCGACCCATTCGAAACATGGGGCCGAAACCAGTCCGGTCGATGGCCCTCCAAACCGACAGTGTCTGCTGTGGCACTGCCTTCCAAAACTGAGTGTCGAAACGACAGTTTGTGAGCGTCGTGTCACGAGCTCCCGGCACATTTAAAAATATCGCTTCTGCTCGATGTTTGTACTGGAGATATAGAAGGCTCTCATCCCTCGGACCGGGATGCACACTGTACTGTTGAGGCTGTGAGGATGACGATGAAGCCATTTATCTACAAACAATAGGAAAAAAAAAAGATTATGATTAAAGTTATTTATTATGTAATATTGATCAAGAACAATAGATGCTAATAACATTAACAAAAACACTTCACAATTCGAAGTTTTAATTGGGGTCGTAATTCTGAAAAATCGAACTTCACACAATAGTTCACACAATAGTTCACAATTTCACATTTTCAACAACATTATAATTTCAAACCTAAACCCCTTTCCCTAAAATTAAAACAACAATTTAACATATTAAAAATTTACATATCCACCTTCAACACCTCTTCACCTCATCACAATCATCCCAAATTCACAAATATGTAACAACAAAGTCAATAACACAAGCAAAGAAGCTCAAACTAAAGAACCCCTTTGAGGCATTTTATCGAACAGTTGAAATCATATATTCTCAAACAAACTACACAACCTAATCACATTTCAAATAACCCATCAATTTAACATACAAACATATTCAACAATTACATCAACATATCTCATTTCCA